ATAGATAGATAGAAACACGCACACAATCGCACATAGTCCCACTTGTACACACCACACCTCTTAATTCTTTGTGACAAATGAAAGCCATGCTACTGAACACATCACGCAGCCCGTCTGATGGACAGGCCACCTCTTTAAATCACACACAGGGACGCACTCAGATCTGCATGTCTGTATTTGATGGCGAGGCAGACTGCGGAGGGAGGAAAATGGAACAGAACAGTCAGGACAAGGGGCGTGGTGAGGGGCGTTACACCTCAGCAAGATGGCATCGGTTGCTATGCAACTGGGCACCAAAGCTATTTATACACCGGCCCCCTTGTCCCCCTTTTTCCTCCCCAAGCTCCACTGCTACTGATCATGACTGCTAGATTGGAGGCACTGCTTTGGGATGTGAATGCACCAGGGTTCGACTGATTTGGGTTTTTGGAGGCCGGTACTTTATGCCATTGTTCACTACTTTAAAATAAACAATTTGAAATAATTAGATTCCAAAACCATTTACCCTAGGGCATGGCAATAGTAGTTTATACGATTAAAGAATGTTGAAAATCTATTGTTATAACTGCTTTATGGCAATATTACATTTTTATGATTTTTGCCCTTAGTAACTTGATTTATCAGGTATTTCATTTGGTGGATTTGTCAAAAACAGACATTTCCATCTGATTCTTTTATCAGTTTCAATTTACTATATCACAATATAGTATATTGATATTGTAGAGGATGGAGGATAGCCCACTTCTTCTCTGAAAAAAATAAAGAAATAAAAAATAAACAGTCTCTGTACAGGTGTTGGGGAGTGCTACTGCATATGGGAATTTTTTTTATAAAGCCTTTTGTTGTTAAATATAATGAACTGCCTCACAGTTGGTTGGGGGTGAAGACTATAAGTTTGAGAGGGGAAAAAAATGTGGGAATCTGTAGTAGAAAGCTACATTAGCCACTACTAGCATAACACACCCACACCTACAGCCCAAATGTTGGTGGTCTAGTTGCATTGTGGGTAAAGGCACCAGGTTCTTTCAAGACAGAAGAATTTGTGAAATAAAAATAACAATATCTCTGCTTCTGTTGCATTGACTTTGACCTTTTGTTTGTCTGAAGGACTGTCCATTCTGTGTGTTAAATCGAAGGTGTACAGATTAATTGATATTTTGTAATATTTCATGTGCTAAGGATAACTAGGTCTGTATTTCATTGTAGAATATTTATTAGGATCAATAACGACCACAGTCAGCTTCAGCTTCTGTGTATATGTATATATCGTCAAACATTCATGAGGTGTGGTCAGCGAGGAAACTCAATCATATCAGACCTCGATGTCTTAGCCATTATACACAAATGATTAATTGATGTAATCCTAACTTGTGTATATGAGTTGCTATATTTTGTGTTTTTACATGCATGTGAGCATTGAAAGGACTGCTGTCATCTCATTGTCACCGTGTTTATTGATGAAAGCTCTTTCTGACATTTATTAGACATAACATTATGGCTGATAAAAACACAGATGGGCCTGTTTAACATGTCATACCTGCAGTAACAGTGTTTTCCATTGTGACGGATCTGCATGAGCAGATGACAGATTTATCACATATTATTTATTCATTTTAGTTTTTTTGTGCTCAAGTTAAACAACCAGGCAAACAGTCACCGTACAGCTGACCTTGGAATTTAAAATGTTATTTTTATGACCTGAAATCAGCCACCGCTCTTTGTCAAGTTCCTCTGTAACAATGAGTTCTCCTCTTGAAACCTGTTGAGCGTAGCCATCACTCCGAGGCACCTTGAGAACACGACTGTCAATCTGTTAATTTCCTTTTATTTAAATCCTGAACTTATTAACTCTCATTCGGGGCGACTGTGTTGTTGCTCTGCGTCACCGAGCAGAGAAACCAACCAGACAATGGGTGTGATTGAGAGGCGAAATAGATGACATTATTGAATTTTAATCACATCTTTTCCACGCCGACGTCGAACACGGCAATTACCTGGCTACAAGATACTTGTGTGTGTGTGTGTGTGTGTGTGTTAGAGTGTGTGTGTATAGGGAAGGGTTGGAGCACAAGGCAGACGACTGGCTCATCAGGTTCTCACAGTGGCTGAAAGAAGGTCGTAAGTGGCTATCAGCGCACCCAACCCTGTCTGGATGGATCCCTCCTGTCGCAGCGTGGCGAGCTCCTTCCATATGGAGAGGGGCCTAATTATCCCCCACCAATGGCTGAATCAACATTTGATTATATCCTCCCTAAGGCTGCTCTGAAAGGCTCTATTCAAATACCACTTTTATGTCTTTTCTCTCATAATCAAGAATGGCTGTTATTTGCTAATGATAAGTTTAATTTCTTTTTTTAACACAACCCCTGACATGCTGTTCAGCAAGATGTCTGACATATCTGCCGGTTTATGCCCTTGAGTGTGCTGATTTTAACTCGAAAGGGTTTTAAACCAAATTGTACATGTAGAGAAATATCTTTAATTTTAAGATGCACAGTAATTTCTTCTTTTAAGTTGTCTAGTCAGTAAATACTTCAGATAGCCGTTGAATGAACTGTGATGGTCCCAACCGTCTTTGTTAGGAGCAGTGTTGTGTATTTTAGTTAAATGAAAAACAAGACTCCACAATCTGAATATTACAGTTTTATTGACTAAATAGATGTTTTTCCCTTTTGCTAGACGGATGTCATGCAACAATCCTTTGTTTTGATTGGTTCCTTTGTGGTCAGAACACCTGTGTGTGATGCGGTGAATGAGTTTTCAAACTTGCCAAACCTGCATATTTCAGCAGCATAAAGACAATGAAAAGGTTTCTGTCAAAAAGCTCTCTAACTGTCAAGTCC